AAGTGGTAGTGACAATTACAATGACAGTTACATTTATAATTACATTGGTAGGGAAAGCTTTCTCCCCCCCTCCTGATCAGAGGGAATGCCTCTGGTTTTTTTTTCTTACCCTAAACAACGTCATTTTGGGGTTTTTCCAAAACGATGTCGTTTTGGGTCTGTTACATAATATCTTACAAATAAGTGATAAGGTAAAATACTATTTTAGTCCTCAATCTGTTCACAATATTATACTTATATTCTGATTCTTTTCATTATAATTTGATTTTTAAATTTTTAAAATTAACTTAATTCATCATATTTTTATACATTTGTTAGAAATTTCAATTTTTTTTTATTTGTTGATATTTTATTATAATAGAATCTAAAATTATAATAACTAAAATTAATCTTAATAGACTTAATAAAAATAATTGACTTCTTTTATTTAAAGAATGCAATCTGGTAGTGGAACTTTCCATCTAACCCATGAGTTTTTGCTAGAGTTCTTGGGGGTTATTGAGGGTTTAGTTGAAGGTAAGCTTCTTGGAACTCTAATGTTAATATCCAATTATATCTTTACTTTAAGATGTGTCTTACCTTGAAGTTTACCATGTGCAAATTCATTTTGTTTCTTTCGAAGGATCCACGTTGTTGCTAGGAAATGGTCCTTCAAATTTGTGATGCCATTTGAACCTATAGTTGTATTATTGTTTTAGCTTATCTACCTATTGGTTGCTAATCACCATTTCATAAATAAGATGCTTAACCTCTCAGTGCACAAAACAAATAAAAAAGGTTAGATGGTATCTCCTGGTTGGATACAACATAAAAAACTAAAGTTTTTAGTAGTAGTTTCATTAATTATAACCCACATAAAGGAGAACAAATGCACTTAATAATAAAGTTTAGCAGTTCTCAAGAGCCCTACCTTCACAAAGATTTCTTATGTAAAATTCTAACTTAATCTATAATAAGCCTTTTTCCAAGTCCAGTTCAACTATTATAAATAATTTTTTTCTCTAGTCTTGGCCATTAATGCCCTATTTGGATGAATTTAGTGATGAGTAATTAATGTATGACAACGATAGTAATTGCATGATAATAACATAAGATGAGAATGAGAAATTTTTTCATGTTTGAATGATTGTGCATTAATGTATGTTAATGACAATTATTTTATTTGAATGATAGAATAATATAGTTTATTTTCAGTCCAATTATTAATTTACTCATGTCTTATTATATATAATAGTAAAATGGTATATAAAAATTATGTAATGGAAAAAAAATTATATAAAAATATAAATAAATTTATATTTAAATAAATAATTATTATAAATAATCAAATTAAATTTTTATATTTGATAAAATAAATAATTACTATTTATATTATCACATTAATTTTATTTTAATAAAAATAAAATTATTTATATATTAGGAACAAATAGTTGTAATTATATATTATTATATTAAATCTAAAATTATTTTAAGAAATAAAAAATTAAAATGTGTTTGAAATAATCATTTACTATGAGTTAATTTTTTAATTATTTTTGTTTAAAAAATTAATCATCATTGGAATTCCATGTTTGCAATCATTTTTTTATTAGTTTCAAACTTCTAAATTTATTTTTTTAGCAAAAATGTACGGTATATATATATATATATACATATGTAGATATCTCATATTCATATTCAATAATGGAAAATAGAGTTTTTGTTTAGGAGGGTGTAACATAAATTAAACATATTTTATGAGAGTATAATAAAAAAACAATTATCAATGCGTCAAATATTACAAATTCGGTAGTTTTTAAAAGTCATTTCATATTTGTCATTCGAATACCATCTGCCACCATCCTATCAGGTTGGAAGTGAAAACAAATAAGATTTTATCACACCCGTGGAATACCATAAACTAATTAACTACCATTTACTGCCAAACAAACAGAGTGTAAGTGTATAGGTTCTTAGAGAGTGATTATATTGTCTATAATAGTTTGCCAACCTATAATAAAGTTTACTCGATTAAGCTAGAAAAGATTGCCTATGACTTGAGCTTGTTAGCTAAGACCTTAGTCACTATTTTGTAGGTCATGTTGCAAAGGATTATAGGTAAAAACTCAATGAAGATTTCAACATATTCTTTTTTGGTTGTAAGGTTCTTATTAAATTCTATGATATTTATATCATTATTAAAAATCCCTTGGACGAGTCTTTTAATTGCTTTAATCCACTATATCCTAGTTTTTCTTTTAGAAACATGCACAAAAGTATCTTGGGTCTAAGACTTTAAACGGGTTCGTAGATCAAATGGCTCCAAAAATTTTCTTGTAAAACATAAAAGAGTTTATGAATATAATGATATCATTTTTAATATGAAGATACCTGTTTTATAGAATAAATAAGGTTAAGAGTCTTCTTCTTTTCAAATGCAAGTCCTGTAGAATAAAACCGCCAAGTTTTGACATTCAATTGGACTATACTAGACCCATTCAACATTACATGATAGTGTACCCTCTTCTGTGGCAATTATATTTTCAAGCTATTAAATAAATATATTAAGTAATAATAAAATAATTTGATATGGTAATAAAATAGAATAATATATTATAATAACTAACACAACATTTAGCATGTTACAATGTCTTTGGCGAACACAATAATTTTATCATATATTATAATATAATTAGTTTCTATTTGACATAAAAAAAAAGATTATGTTAAGTTTTTAGGCCATTGTAACCACTATAATTAAGAGAATTTAATTATTATAATTTTTTTTTATCTAAATACATCATGACTTATTAAGACAAACTCAGTTCATTACAATCTCACAAATATACTAATAAGTTAAAATCTAAATTTACTAAATTAATATAGTCGGTTATCCTTAACCTATAATATACCTACAAACCGACAAATTTTGTATTTTTAGTGAATTTTGAATTCTTTAACTTCAAAGAGAGCATAAAAAAATTAATTAATAGATCATCAGGTTGGTGCTAATATAATTAATATAATATATAATAAAAACAAAGAAAATAACCAATTTTACTTACAAATTTTTGACTTAGTATGTTACCTAACGCGCACACATTGAGTCACCTTCTACTTTTACAGAAAAGCTTGGAATTTTTTGTTTTTTTTTCATTTAGGTAACAATTTGGAAAGTTAATATGTTATGACAAGAAAATTTGAACACGTGGCACATAATTACTTGTCCGTCCTTTTGAAAGTAGGATGCTTGGGCGGCATTAATTATTTCCGGCCTCGTTCTATACTGTTTGCTTAGTCGTGCTAACAGGTGTACCAATGAACCAAATTTGTCACAGCTGGCACGTCCCACAACTACCGCGGGCCATACGTAGCCTCTGACGTCATTCTCTGGCTTTTGCCAACTGGAGGTTTTAAAAATTGAAAGCCTCGAATTTGATTTGTTTGGTAGATTGGATCATTGAAGAATCACGCTTCTTCTTTGTTAATTTTGTTTGTGCAAATATCTTCTCTGTAAATTTCAGTTGATCTTCAAACCTGGTTTTGATTTATTTGGGGATTACCTCATTTCGTCTCTGCACATTTATTTGATTTCCAGAGAAAAACTAGAAGAAAGGAAGGAGGGAAGAAAGAAATGGTTCAGTTGATTTTGGGACTGGAATGACTTTTTAAATTTTTATGTCAAATCGCCGGTGAAACAACTCAAGAACCGTGATTTCAGAAACACTGATGGGAATACTTCATTAGTGATATCCATGAGTAAAATTTCTGTTGTGTTGGAATAGCATTTGTTGATTTTCTTTTTTGCGCAAATTCAAATGTGGAAGCTAAAGATAGGTGCAGAGACAGTAAGCAGTCGCGATAATGGAGGTCTAAGAAGCCTGAACAACCATGTAGGGCGTCAAGTTTGGGAGTTCTGTCCAGAGCTTGGTACCGCAGGAGAGCTCTTGGAAATCGAGAACGCTCGCAAAAATTTCCATGATAATCGGTTCCAGAAGAAGCACAGCTCTGATCTTCTAATGAGGATTCAGGTACTTTTCCAATTATCTGTGGCTTGCTCCCTTCATTGGATTATGTTTTATGTTGGTATTTTGATTTTGCTTTGATGGAAAATGCTTAAAAAAATTCAGCTATATAGATATATTTTGTTTGACTTTGTAAATTAGGCATTGAGTACCTTTTGGTAATTATGCATCGTTGGTTCTTATTATCATCTTTTCTAGATTAGGATTAGTGATGCTAAGTAGTGCACTTCATTTTGTTTTGAGATTTGTGTTATAATACATGAGAAAAATGGTACTCCTGTAGATTCAAGGTTTAAGTTCATATTGGATAAGCTTGATCAAAACTTTATGTATGGAATGTCTGTCTGCT